GTCAGAGAGGATCCTGCTTTTGTGTAAAAAAGCGAGACTCAGCTCAGCTTGCACAGCGCAGGCTTGCTTTTTCGGTTTTGTTCTTTGAGTGAAGGTTACAAATCATACTGGCTTTTCATTTAATCATAGACATTTTAAAATAACCTTATAATCGATTCATAATTATGTCTGATCAACCCTTGTTATCGATTACCTTTTCCTTCAACCAGTGCACCTCTTTTTAAGTTTTGACTCCGTCTCCCTCCCTTCCCATCCCTGCTAACTGTCTAAAGAATGATTCCACCTGTGTTAGTGTGCTCGGCGTTCTGTGATCGTGGTCTGACACGATGACCAGCATCTGTGACTGACTTGTGCTTAGTGTCGCTCCGTGTGGGGGTCCCTGTCCGCAGCACCACCTGCACCCTCCGTTGCCTGTTAGCACCATGTAGAACCCCACTGTGTGAATGCACCGCCTTCTTCAGCCATTTCCCCATCGGTGGACACTTGGGGTGCTTCGCTTTGCTGCTGTAAATAATGTTTATAGGGCAGCTCTTATTCCTTTGGGATTTATACCTAGTAGTGGGATTACTGATCTAATAGTATTTCTCCCAACTCTCTAAGGTTGCGCTAAACAGCTTTCCATGAGGTGACCCCACTTCACATTCCAGCAGTAGGGAACAACACCTGTTTAAACCAGGGGGTCCATTTCTACATCCATTTTTTTTCCCTCTGTTGCAGTTAAGGTGAGCTCAAGTTGCAGGTATCTGCTTCCCACACCTGTGACAGTGAGAGACCAACTCTGTGTGAGGACTCGGTCTCCTCAGCACCCCTCACGGGGGGACAATTCACGTTCGTGAGGTTTAAATCGATGCATTTGAGCAAACTGTAATCACAGCACGGGGGGTGAGTCCATGTTAAGTGGGCACGTGCAGTTCAAACCCGCTCGTCACGGGCCAGCTCCCAGCCCCACAGCTCTGGACTCTGGGGGCCGTGCGGCAGGGTGTTAACAATAGGTGTTCTCCGGTGGCCACGTTTTTTTCTTCCTTTCGTTTACGTGTGTTGTCCGATTGTTCTGAAATAGCCATGTTATTTGTGGCCTGTGATTGGGTAGTCAGTTTCTGAGAACCACTTTTTAGAGAATAACCCAAACCACTGCCAGAGCTGTTCTTGGACTGCTTGTTGTGGTCATGGAAACCCGACCCTGTCTGCACACCTTGTGAGGAGAGTCCACTTAGCCAATTACCGCACGAGTTCTTCTAAATAATCAAGGGTGACCGTGCAAGGCCCTTGTGCCTGTTAGGGAGGCGAGAAGCTGGGTGATGCAGGAATTGTGTTGAGGAGGTCATTGGCCTGGCGCTTACTGCAGTCCAAGCACACCTGTCGGGGTTCTGTGTACCCCACAGTGCACCCCGATACGGTGGGTGGGAGAAAAGGATTTGGGATTTACCTCAAGTTTCTAAAAATACCTTTGACATTCTCAAGCATTCCAGGTGTCTTGGTCCTTCTGAAACAGCTGGGCAGCACGTAACCCGGGGTAGACACATCAGGTGACAGGCTCAGCCTGCCCCCAGGCCCGGGAGGGGAGGGCGCAGTACAGCAACTCACAGTGTGTCCTGGGCTGAGACGTCAGGGCGGTGACTGAGGGACCCAGGAGCCGTGGGCTTCCTGGGCAGTCCCCCAGGGACAGGGACGTCTCTGCCACAGCCTCTCCCAGACCTTGCCTGACGTGGCTTTTCACGTGCGCCCTTTCTGGTTGTAGGAAATGAGTAGCGTAGCTGAAAGTAGAGGTGGTATTTTGTGGGTCATTAGCAAAGCCTCACAGGGGAGCTTGGCCTGTGGCCTAGCGCAGGGTCGCTGGTTGAGGAAAGCTGTGCAGGTAGGGATGTCTGCAGATCACTCTCCGGTGACTAGGTGACAGCTTCACAGGCTGGCCAGGAGGCTAGAGCATCCTAGCTTGTGACCTCAGCCCCAGGTGCCCTCCTGAGGGTCTAGCTGCTGCCCGATGATGACCTGGCTCCATGTGACCAGAGATGAAACCTGGCCTGCTGATTAGGGTCAGAGGAAGTGCTGTAGAAGTGACTGGTAACAAGGTCCATTTCCAGGTGGGAGTTCGAGTTTTGGTCTCTTGGCAGTGAGGTATAATCCACACTGAAGGCGAATGTTGATCTACAGCAAATGCTTCATGTTATTTGAGGTTTATGAGGCAGGGTTGTGTTATCTGCCTGGTCTTCACATAGTCTAGCTTCTCAGATTATATATTCATTATATACTTTGAAAAAATAAAGCATGGGACTTGACACATCACTTCCCCATTTTGCAGCTCACACTATCCTTGTGGTCTGTGTACAAGTTCTGTACGAGGGCAGACTGTTCTAGAATGCCCATTCTGTGCTGTCCATACATTGCAGAGGTCTTGTCGTAGGCAGGAGAAGGAAGGTGGTGGTAGCTCTGAAAGACAGCTGTTTGCCAAACGGTGTTGGATGCTTGCCAGTCGTGCGCCGGGATGGAGGGAGCATCGAATCGAGTAAAGGGATAGGGAGACAGGTGAGATAGCCTGGCAGGACACAGGTGGGCTTGAGGAGGATGACGAGGGGGAGCACAAGGCTGGTGGCCGCAGGTTCACAGGGATGCACTGTGCAAAGAGAAGGGGGCCAGCCCTGGCGTGTAACCTGAGCCCTGCCCCCCAACCGGCAGAGCTCATGAGTGCCGTGGGCTGCTGAGTGACACTGAGTCAGGACCACGTTTCTGCTCTCCTCTCGTATCCCAGCACCAGGTAGGCGTGCAGCAAACTGGTCTGGTCTCAGTGACAGGGTCTGGAGAGGTGGGCAGAGGCCGTGATCCAGACTGACATGGCAGCCCTGCTCAGGGAAGACAGCAGGACAGACACCGTGACACCTCGCCCCGTGTGTCCTTCAGCACGCCCCCTGCTGCTAGGGGACTCAGTTCTGCCCATGCCACAGTTGAGAGGCAAATGCTCGCCCAGCCTAGCATCTGGCCTCCACACACGCCAAGGTCAGCCGTTAGCCACGGACTCCTGCTCTCAATCAAACTTGGCTGTGAAGTCAGCATGCTAAAATGACAGCAGAGCCCCTTGTGAAGGGAGCGGGGGCCCTGGTTCACTGCTAACAGTCTTGGTCCTGGGTGTCACAGGGGCCCAGAGTCCTTGAGGGAATAGGGAGACAGGTGCCAGGGACAGGGGGCACCTTCATCACATCACGCTGGGGATGGCTGCCTCTGGGAAAAACCTTGACGCCGGAGTGAGGTGGCAGTGATCCAGAAACCTTGCCCCGTGTCCTTCCAGGGCACTGGCCCATCTGTCCTTCCTGAGGACAGCACTGAGACCTATACCATACCTGAGGACAGAGCCTGTCCATGCCCCACAGTATTCTCAGGTGGCCAACCAGGAGCAACAAGGCTAGCTTCCCTGGTCACTGCCATTCTGTGTAGGAGTCCGACCTTTTCCTAGTGAGTTGTGGTGAAGGCGCCTCTGTACCTGGCAAGTCCCTGTGAGTTTATGCCAGTTGACAGGCGCGCTAAAGTGACCACCACCCTGACACGATCCCGCAGGGAGTTCTCAGTGCCTTTACCCATGAACTTGTCTCAGCAAAGCCAAGAGATATGAGAGCCAGTGCACCAGGGGTCCTGCACACATTGTCCTGCCAGCATCTGCTGGTGAAGATAGGGGGTGTGCCCACCAGCAGGGGTCCACCTAGTCTCTTCCGCAGCCGGGCTGGACCTGGTACCCACGTGTGTCACAGGAGGTGATCAGAGGGTGGTGAGCGCCTGCTGCACTGCCACTCAAAACCAAGCCCGTTTGATTCCAGGAGCCACACCCCATCAAGTTTCTGGGTGTTATCTCCGTGCGGCAGCGTGTGAACTGTATCCCAGACCGAGACCAGCCCCTCCCAACCTCGGGAGACTCTGCTGGCCTCTCATCTCAAACAGCAGACGCCCACTTGGAAAAGTGTTTATTGCCGAAGGTGGGGCACAGGGTCGTGTTCAAGTTCAGTCTTAATCCAGGCGTCTGGTCAGGATCTTGATGGTACGAACCAACCACATGAAAGCTGTGAATCATGAATTGTTCACTGTGCACTGAGGACAGTCTCCCTACCCCCACCCAGTCTGGGGGCGAAGATAGCCCAGAAAATCCCTGCTCAAAACCTGTGGCCCACTGGGCAGCCTACAGCTGGGGAGCATGGACTCCCTGACATCCCTTCTCCATGGGACTGCCACTGTGCCCTCCCCACCCCTCCCGCCCTGGACTGGGGTGATGGTCCCTCCACACCCCTCCCGCCTTGGACGGGGGTGATGGTCCCTCCACTGTCCCCACACTCTCCCGCCAGGCTGTGGGTGATTGTCCCTCCACTGTCCCCTCCACACCCTCCGCCAGGCTGTGGGTAACGGTCCCTCAGCTGTCCCCTCCCCACACCCTCCTTCAGCTATAGGAGAAGGCCCTCCCTGCCCCTGCCCACTATGGCCCCTCTAATACCAACCTCTTCCCCAGGGCAGCTGCTCTGTGTTCCGTCTCCACCTCTGGCACCCAGGAACACTGGAATTTTTAGGATTTTATTTTTATTTATTTATGGATTTACAGATTCATCGTAGAGAGGATTAAACCAGGCTGCTCCTTGGAGGCAAGGATTCTAGGGCTTCGTCTGACATACTTTGGACGTTGTAAGGAGAGACAGGTCTTTAGAGAGGGACATCATGCTGGGTAGAGTAGAGGGACAGCACAGGAGGGGAAGACCCTCTATGAGGTGGATTGATTCAGTGACTGGGGTAATCGGGATGGGTGTGTCAGAGGCAGTGCGATCGGCACAGGATAGAGCAGGGTTTAGGGCTGTTGTACATAGGGTCGCTATGAGTCGCAAACGACTGGACAGCACATAACAACAACATATATAACTTTTGGCTAGGAGAGCTGGCAGACATGCTGCACCCCCTGCTGTCCGCACAGCAAGGCCCCTCCTCGTGCTGTGCAGCTCTGCCCGTCCCTGAGGGAAATCTCTGCTTGTGTGCAGCCTGCCGGGGTCACCTTGGTCAGCGTCCACTCCAGCCCCAATGACCAGATGCTCTGGGCCCTTGACAGCAGGTGGAACGTGCATGTCCGCACTGGGATCACTGAGGAGATGCCGGTGGGCACCGCCTGGGAGCACGTGCCAGGTACAGCCATCCCCTCCCCGGCGCGGGTCCAGGCAGCCCCGCAAGTGGCCGAGACTGAGCACTAGGCAGGCAGCTCTGGGTCACTTGGGCGGCTGTGTGGCTCTCAGCCCTTATGGCCGCATGGTGTGCTGGCCCCACCTCCAGGGCAGGTGACAAGCAGGTCAAGGGCCTGTGTTAGAGCCTCAGCCTGGCCTTCCCAGATCATTCGGAACCTTGTAGCCTTGGTGCCCGGCCCCTGCTGTGTCCCAGATCCCCCGCCCGAGATACCAGGACCCAGATGCCCTTTGTCTGCCCGCAGGACTGCAGGCCTGTCAGCTGGCGCTGAGCGCGAGGACCGTGTGGGCCCGCTGTCCCAACGGAGACCTCGCACGGCGGTATGGGATCACCGACAAGAACCCCGCAGGAGATTACTGGAAGAAGGTCCCCGGGAGTGTGCTGTGTGTCACAGGCAGGTGCCCTGGGTGTGGGCTGCGGGCCACGCTGTGCCTCCAGGGTTCCCGGGGCCTCTGTGGGTGGACGGGGGCGTTCCATACGCTCGGCCAGTGGCTCTGTACGCTTGGCCCCTGGCTCTGCTGGCCTCCGCCTCCCAGGCCAAGGGAAGCTGCTAGAGGGGCTTCAGCATAGGGTCTCAGCTGAGTGAGGGCACATGAGGAGGCCAGGGCATGGGGCCGCCCTGGGTGACCTGAAGAAACAGGCACAGATTAGAGTGGCCCGAGGATTAGGAGGTCAGTCTCTGACCCTGTTGAGTGCTGGCCCTGGACCGGGTGACCCCCAGCACATGACAGCTCTTCCCCCTTTAGAGTGGCCCGAGGATTAGGAGGTCAGTCTCTGACCCTGTTGAGTGCTGGCCCTGGACCGGGTGACCCCCAGCACATGACAGCTCTTCCCCCTGCAGTGACCGCCGCGGACGAGCTTTGGGCAGTGGGGCCACCAGGCTACCTCCTCCAGCGACTGACAAAGACCTTCAGCCATTCGCACAGCACCCGGAAGGGCGTCCTGGCCTCGGCCACACCCCACCCCGAAGACTTCGAGGATGAGTGGGAAGTCATCTGAAGTCACTGGGGCTCCAGCCACTCGAAAAGGGGGCCGCCACCAGCACAGGGTCGTAGCCATGCCTCAGCCAGCCAGGCTGGCCGCTCACACTTGCTGTCGTCTGTCTGTCTGTGTCTCGTCCAGAACACACGGTCTCCACCCCGTGATGCCGGCTCCCGGCCGCATGCACAGCCGTCCCCACACCCCACAGCCAGGTGTTCACCGTGGAGACCCAGTTCCACGCGGCCAGGGGAGGCCGAGCTGGACCCTGGGCAGCCCCTGCTGACTCGGGCTGCTTTCTACTTGCGGCCGCAGGGCCAGTGGGAGTGGAGATGCTGCTCTCGGCTGAGTGTGCCCGCAGGGCCTGTCACCTCCTGATGAGATTGTTCTAGTACTTTCTGTGCCAGAGCTCCACCTGGAGAGGGCGCATCTCAGCACAGCACAGGGATGAAGAGCACGCCCCACACGTGCACACAGCGCACAAGCCACACACAGGCCGCCTCCAGAGGCCCCAGCTTCCAAGGGACACCCGTGAAGGCCAGTGGATTGGCGGAGCTGTTGCAGGCCCCCGTGTGTGGGCCCTCATCCCTCCCCGAGCATGGCCAGTTAGAGGTGGGAGCCGAGCCCCGCACCTCCGGAGGGTCCCCACGAGCCTTTTGAATGGCACTTTGCCCCGCTGGTGGGCATCTGAACCCATGGCATCTTCAGGGTGAACCCACTAACGATTGCCTTTTCTGTTTGTTTATTACAAACCTGTATAAGATACCTCATCTTAAATCAGATCTTACAAATGCAGAGAGAAGTGTATTTTCTGATAGCAGTCCTGAGCTCATGCTGCCCACAGCTGTGGGGGGAAGGGGCAGTTCCTCAGCCCCCCTGGCACGGCAGCCCAAACCCTCGAGCTGGCTCCATGTGACGGTTCGGCACCTTCAGAGGGACTGCTGTGGCCACATTCAGGCACAGGTCAGTCCATAGGGGCAGCTTGCAGTGCCCACCCCTCTCATTGGCATCTGAGTTTGGGGACCAACCAGCCTACACCCAAAACCTAGCCCTCCTCCTGGAAGCTGGCCAGGAGCCCTCCCACAAGCACTGACTTGGCTGAGCTCGGGCCGGAGGCTGGCACCCAGCAGCCCAGGGAGTTTGTCTGGGAGCCCAGCCCACAGGAGAACAGGGCAGACGGCGGGAGGAAGGGGTTTGGGTCCAGGGAGGACGAAAGGCCAATCCCAGCTTTCTCTAGCGCCCACGTTGAGACTCTCCTAACAGCATCAGTGGTCATTGGGCGGCTGGCACAGGACACTGCCCAGCACTTAGAGGCTCACAGACAGTAGTAATGCAGTCCACCCAGCTCTGTCTGCTGCCTGCTTTGAGACATTCCTTTGTACAGGGCCAGTGGTCACTAGGAGCCTGGCTGGCGCGCACACATTGCACCACAGTGCAGTCCACCCAGGTCTAGTCTTTGTACGCTTGTCCAGTTTTTAGTTGTGCTTTGAAACCGTGCAATAAATAGACTTTTCCAAGCTGGTGAGTCTGCTGTTTGAGCTGAGGGATCAGCAGACACGCCTGAGGCCAGCTGACAGTGGCTGCCCTCTGCCAGGAGAGTGCTCATGGGTGCACCTTGGTGACAGGGCCAGTATGGCGGTGCTCACAGGTAGAATGGCGTATCTCCCCGAGGCCTTGGGCTCCAGTGGAGGGGCTTCTAGCCAGCAGACCTCCATCTCGGAACAGGTGCCAGACGTGCCCAGTGAGACAGTAACTGGCAGAAATGCTGCAGGGGCCACAGAGCAGGGACTAGCCAATGTGAGGAAGTGGTCATTGTTGTGGGGGGAGGCCTAAGGGGAGACTCCTGAGTGAACACAGCTGTGTTGGACCAGGTCTGGGTGCCAGAGCGTCAGTCCTTCCTAAAGGAGAGGAGAGGTTGAATTTCCTTTCAGTCAAAGCCCGCACTGGGATTGTTTTGGTTGGAGGAGGCAGGGAGGAATTCATAGAATACAGTTACTGCCTACACACACAACCCCTGGACTGTGCTCTGGGCCTCACTCTGGCTTCTGTCGCACCCCTGTACCCTTTTACCCCACAAGGCTCCGAGACTCTGACCTGCTCATAGTCCTGAAGGCACTGGGACTGGAACCCATCCTGTGGGACTCAGGCCCTCAGTTATGGGGGAAAAAACCAGAGGTGACACAGGCAGGTGTCCTGCAAGGTCAACATGTCATGGGCCACCTGGACCAGGAGTCGGGGACCAGCGAGGTGAGGTGGCCCCACAGCTCCAGGCAGGGGCACGGCCTGGCCTGGCCAGGACCATCACCCAGCGTGGTGCCTGGTTAAAAAAAGAAAAATCAATCCCTTTTCTTCCTTCCTTACGCCATAGACCAGATAGATTCTGACAGACTTCAGGAGCTGGAAAGAAAAGCAAACTCTGGTCAAGTGTATGCAAGGCAGATCAGTGAGAAAGGCCACAGAAGAGCAAAGCAAACAGATGGTAGCTCTTCAAAACTTATAACTGCTATAAATGTAACCCTCACATAAGCGGAAAACTCTTCCATACCCATGACTTGAGGGGCACGTCTGTATCTTCACTATATGCACACAGCATGTCAGACAAGAGACGTCCCAGACAATGGAGCTGAAAGGTTAATGCACTCGTGAAATTACATAATAAGCCCAGGCAGGAGGGCTGGCCATGGGTGGACCAGGGCTGGGCTCTGGGCGTAGGGACACAGCCTGGCAGCAAGGCCCTGGCTGTCCCTCCTCAGCTGTAAACAGGCCCCACCTGGGAGCCCCACTACAAGGGACCGCCCTCAGGTAGTGGTGGTAGTTGTGCCGTCGAGTTGAATATGACCAACCCATAGCGACCCTATGAACCCTGTCCTGAGCCCTGTCCTATCCTGTGCCAGCCTCACACCAGCACATTAGAGCCCATTATGGCAGTCACCTCATCAACCCACGTGGTCAAGGGTCCTCCGTCGACCCTCCACTTTCCTGGCATCATGTCCCTCTCCAAGGAATAGCCCTTGCTAGCAACATACCCGAAGTATGTGAGGTGAAACCTCATCATCCTTGCCTCCAAAGAGGACTCCAGCTGACTCCTCTCCAAGACATATCCGTTTGTTCTCTTGGAAGTCCATGGAATGTTCAGTGCTCTCCAACACCACAGCTCAAAGGCATCACTAATTCTTCTGTCATCCTTATTCACTGTCCTGCTCTCAGATGCATCACTCCCAGGACAGGCTCCTGAATCAGGATGCACACAGTGCAGCGTCATTTGTCATTGTGACATTAAGATGTTTCCACTCTGCGTCTCTGGGAACAGGGCATTAACCTGGGCATTTCTGTGGTGAGGTGACTACTAAAGGGCACCTGTCTGGGGGATTTGCTTGGAGCTGTCCTTATACCTGTGCCTGTGTCCACGTTGGTCCCAGATGTGGTGGACACACTGTGATTCTGGAGAGGGAAACAGCAGGGAGGGGACAGTGCAGTGGTCAGCAGTGTCCCAGACTGAGCCACCAGACGTTTGCAGGTATGGATGCAAGAGGAACCGAGGAGAGAAGAGCTCCCCAAAAAGTAGCAGCCACAGTGGTTGCTGTTTTGTGTATCTTTTTTGTATCTTTAGAATTTTAAGTCACGTAAATGTTATTTATTCTAGAGATAAACGGTAAAATCTAAAATCTTTGTCCACTCTTAACATTGTAACTCTTAACGGCATCAACACTTGTCAAATGGAATTTCACAAAATAAACTTACCCGATACTTCTTTAAGATCATATTTGCAAACTGTTTGGTGGTGTTGCGCGAATATACTGGGCTGCGAACAGAAATGCTGGTGAGCAAATCCACCAGCTGTTGCTCAGGATAGACGGGCAGCTCCTCCAGTGAAGCTACGGCATCTGAAAACTAGTCGGGGGCGGGGGTCCCTAAGTCGGAAGCACTGAGTGCCAGTGGGCTTGGGATCTTGGCTTTTGCCATAGGAGATGCTCACGCACAGCAAGAGTGACAGTCCTGAGTTGTGTGATGGGATTTCACGTGTGTGAAAACGCACACAGAAGATGCCTCAGTATGTCGAACAAGAGGGAAAACAAAACAAGCTGTGAGACAGTGCCCCAAAATGGGGGGGGGCAGCTTGCCACCCCACCCGAGACATCCTCGCTAGACGTTTCCAGTGCGCCACCGTGGCCTGAGGTGTGACGGGTCTGTCTGTCCGTCCAGTGCAGGGCACTACTGAGCGGTTTCCATCACCACCAGAGAAGCTGCATCCAGCAAGTTAAAGCAATACACATGCATTTAAGAGACTCTGGGGGCCGAGGGGAGGCGTGTGGTAGTGCAGTGGCTAAAGTGGTCACTACAACCCAGATATCTGCCGTTTAATCCCATGGGAGAAGGATGTGACAGTCCTCTGAGACTGACCGCCCGGAGCCTAAGGGGCAGTTCTGCTGTGTCCTCTGGGTTCTCGATGACAGGGGCTCAGCACTGGTGGGTGTGGGTTGACTAGTCCCTGCAGACTGCTCTGCTGAGCATACAGAGAAAACGGGAAAAATGACTGCACATCCTAGACCAGCAGCGTTCTCTGCTGAAAGCAAGACGCAGTTGTAACTCTCAATGCCATTAATGTGATACGTAGCAGATGAACCTGTACTCAGTGCTGGCGTAGGTGCGCTCTTTCAAGCATCCGCCCGTCCCTGTGACGGCAACCCGGCCCACCTGCATCGCCCAAGCCCCGTGTTCTCAAGAACATAAACGCCATCGGAAATTCTTTTTTTAAATCACTAGAGAAACACATGTCTGCCAGGACAGAACGTCCTCCTTGATAGGGGGTGAGGGTTGGGCACCTGTAGGCATTTGTCATATTCATCAAACCTTGAAAATCTGTATGTCAGTCTGTGTACATTGTACTTCAATTTAAAAACAGCCTCAAAGAAAGGAACTACTCACAGCAGAAACAAGCTCAAATACGAGCTCCTTCCCCACCCACTCCCTGGCTGCTCAGCTCCCAGGTGCCGCGGGTGTGTGGATGGACAGGAAGCCACACTCAATGTGGAAGAGGGCTGAAGTGTAGGACCAGCTCAGGAAGTTGGGGCGCTGGGCAGCTTGCCAGGGCTGGAAGAGGCCAAGTGGGGCCTGGTCCCCACACCACCCACACCGTGCTCCCAGGATGTTCCTTGGTGTCTCCCTCCTGCTGTCCTCAGCGAGTCCAAGCACCTTACAGGACAGGCATCTGGATGGGGTCACCAGGCGCTGGGAAAGGGGCAGAGCCAGATTTGTCTTTGAAACAAGAACCAAGTGAACCTATGAGCTCTGGCCCAGAGAATGAGGCCTTCATGGGCGCAGCCAGTCCACAGCTTCTGGGCAGGCCTGTCGTTCTCATGGTCTATACTGAATCATGCACAGTCATTGCTGGGGTGCAGGCGGGGCCTAGGTCATTGAACCCCATACCAAACCCCTCCTCCAGCTGACAACAGTGGCCTGAGGCTGGCTGTGTGTCCTGTCCAGGGTTCCAACCCTCACCAGCAAGCACCAAGCTGTCAGGTGAGACCAGGGGTGGTTTTCTAGCATCTTCCCTGTACCTCCCATAGGTGCAGCAGCCGCCCCACCCCCACCCTGACAGAGGCCAACACCTATGGTTGCCCACCTGCCTCACCCCTCCAAGGCATCAGGGATCGGTCCCCAGAGCTGTCTCCTGCACAGCCCCTTCCTGTGCTAGGGCTGCCTCTGAGTTCTGCTGGGTGCTGCCCCCACCACAGTACCAGGCAGTTTTCCTCTCCAGGGCCTCCCCCACCCCACCCCCACTGCTTGGCCCACCAGGGAGCCTGTCCCTGTGTCATCTTCCTTCCCAGGGCCCAAAAGCTAACAAGGCCTGCTGCCCAGGGACCCTGAGTCTCCACCTGCCTCTCATAGCAGCATCTCTACCTGACCTGGGACCTCCTAGCATACCCCAAGTGCTCACTGTCCCAGGTTTGGGGCCAAGGAGCTCCTATAATGAGAATCTAGAATGAGGGGCAAAGACCACGCTCCTTCCCTCCCTGCTTCATCCACTCACCTGAGGTGAGGCCATGCCTCCTATACCCAAAGGGAAGACACTTGCTCAGAGTGGGGGGAGGGCTCCATCAGATACTGATGAGCCCAGTACTCCCCCCATCTGAACCCTACACATCCCAGAACAGGGGACTGCACAGCCCTTTTGCATGTGCTAGGAGGCTGGTCCCCAAACCCCTTCAAGGCCCAGACAGAGCAGGGTTTTGCCCAAGGTCGTCCTGAGAGAGGGTGGCAGGTTCAGGCCAGAACCACGCTCTCGAGCAGGACCCTCCACCATCCCACCTCCATCCACTCCGTGGTCAGCACCTCCCCAGGCCTTCCAAGCATGCTCCCTCAGAAAACCAGGAGCAGGTGGAAGTGCGACCCCTGCCAGCTGGTCACTCCTCACCAAGCAGACCTTCAGCCTCTGCACCTGGCAGGACACAGTGGCCCCCTGCGACGCCACCAGGGGTTGAATTTCACAGCCCTGCAGAATTCCAGAGCGGTCTGGCCTTCCCAGTCCTCAGAAGCCACAGGGCCTGGTCTCAGTTGCTCAGCCAGAAACCTGTCTTTCTCTTTGCTCTTTGGTTACTTGGGAAGAAGGCCAGGGAGCCCCAAGATCCTACTTTTCAGAAACTTCCTTCAGAAACCAGCTGCATCGTAATGGTGCAAGGACCTTCTTAGTCACTTATGGGCACCACGTACATCCCGCAGAGGAAGAACCCAGGGGCTAGGAGATGATGGGGGGTTCTGAGGCTGTGAATTGTACAGGGGAGACTGCTCTTCATTCTGGAAATGGGGATCAATATATCTGGGTGTGCAAATGATCAGGCACCCCCCCCCCCCCAGCATCTGCTGAATCCCAGCATCATGGGCTGGGTGAGGACAGGAAGGGGAATCTCACTGGGGGGTGGAGTAAAAGGGGCATCAGGGGCCCCTATGGTGCAGCTAGGTAGGCATCTGGCAGGACTGCATAGGGACACCTACGGAGGTAAGTGACTAGTCTGGGTTGGGAGCTGGGAGAGGCACAAACATGCATGCTGGGTGAGGGCGAGGGTTCCCTCTACCGTGAAGGAATAAATAAATACCTGTCCAGGACCAAGTACAGCTTGAATATTCCTTAGAGGCAAGACTTGGTCTCATAGACTCATAAAGGGCTTGAGCAGCACCAACTGTGTGGGTTGTGCCAGGGCCTGGACAGCAACCCTCCATGGGACTGAAGGTTGCTAGGAGATGGTCCCTACCACCACCAGCCAGGTGGCAGGGGTCCAAGCGTTCAAGTCCAGTCTCTGCGACACCGGAGGGACTAGACATGGGAGGGACTAGACTGAGGCCACAGAACAGAGCTTCTTAAGCAGAGGCTGCCCCAGAGCCTCTCACCACCAACCCACCCCATGATCAAGTCCAAGCTGATGCCCCATTTACCCACCTCTGATACTCCCACCATGTGTGTGTGTTATGTCTCTCACTCTCCAAGCGTGCACACCTGCTGACCTCTCCTTGGAGGCCCAGTCACCCCACCCTGGACCTGCCCAAATCCTACATGCTCATTTCAGTTGTCCCGCCCTCTGAGAGAGGCTGGGGAGACCCTAGTTCACGGTCACAGGTCAGTGCTCACCCCCTGGGCTGGCCACTGAGCTGAGTCCTACCTGACCCTGCACAGCACCCGAAATTCCTGCCGCGGGGACAGATGACACAAGAGGCTGTTGCACAGAGGACAGTCTATGTAAAGTGCCATGTACAACTCTCAAAAAAATAGTCTTCCCCACGAGCCCTGCGCCCAGGGCGCCCCCAAGTCTACCGCTTGCCCATGAGGTCCAATGGCTGAAGGAAGGGCGGCAGCGGCAGCTCGTCCAGGGCCTCGGGGAAGCGGCCAGGAGAAATGGCGGTGACCAGAACCTGCATGGCACGTGCGAAGAGGGATGGCGGCGCCAGGCCCGCCAACCACTGGAACTTGTCCTCACCCAGCAGCCGCTGCCAGCGCAGCCGGTCACCCAGCAGCTCGCGGCGAGCAGGGCCAGCGGCGCCCGCGGGCGTGTACAGCACCAGTAAGTCCAAAAGCAGCAGGCGACGCTGACGCTGCTCCCCGGGACCGGTGGTGGCCGGAGCTTCGGCCACAGGACCAGCTTCGCGGCCGAGGTGGCGCAACAGCAACTCCAGCGGAGTGAGGCCATCCGCGTCGCGCAGGCCAGGCGAGGCGCCGTGGCCGAGCAGCAGGAAAAGGCACTCGGGCCGCGCCAGCTCGCAGGCGGCATGCAGCGCCGTGCCACCGCCCTCCACGCGGCTGCAGCCGCGCCGATCCAGCAGGCACGCGCGCTCCTCGGCCGGGAAGTCGCGCAGCGCGCGCAGGATGCGCCGCAGCACCGCCACGCGGTTGTAGCGCACGGCCAGCGCCACGTGCGCCCCGGGCGCGGAGCAGCAGCGGAAGCCGGTGGAGGGCGGCGCGAGCGCGTGGCGTGGGAAGGTGGCCAGCAGGTAGTGCGCATAGGCCTGGTGGTCGTGCACGAGCGCGTACAGCAGCGCCTCGGACGGCGAGTAGGCGGCTGCGCGGCCGCGTTCGTCCCAGTGGAAGGCCTCGCTGGCGCGCATGTCCTCCAGCAGCCACACGGGCAGCAGGTCGCGCACCGCCTGGTAGAAAGCAAACGACGACTTGCGGCACTGCTTCTGTGCCCGGGAGCGCGCAGCGCCCGCACCCTCGGGCCCGCCGTCCGCGCCGCCCCCGGGCCGCCGCGCGTCCCACGGCATGCTGGCGGCGGGGCGCCTCCCGACTTCACGGCATGGGCCGCTGCCGGATGGCCACCTGAGGACAAAGCGGCTAGGGTAAGGGGTTTGGCTATGGGAGGCGCACTGAGGGGTTCCCATCCACCCAGCACGGGCCCTTCCGGTCACTCCACACCACCTCATTCTCTCCTAAGCCAACACCACCTTGCCCCATCCTTTATCCAAACTGCACCTGACCTCTCTTCCCCAAGCTGACTGGTTCTCTGGCCCCTGTACTCCCTACTCCTGTCCTCACAGACACACCCCAAGTCCCTCACCTTACCAAGCCCTTCAGCTTGTCCCCTTCCCACTACTTCTTCCCACCTTGGCTCCCTCTGGCGAATGCATGTTCCTGCTACCCAGACCACCACGCTCTGAGGCTCACGGAAGCTCACTGAATGCCTTCCCACCGTATCTTTATTCCCCAGGGTGGCTGGTGGGTTCGAACTGCTGACCTTTTAGTTAGCACGCCCGCGTTTTAACCACTGTGCCGACTCTTGTTCCCTGTCTCCAGACCCCGACCAGGCATTCTCCCTCCTCGTCCTCCTGGACCCTAGCCATCTCCAGCCGAGGCAGGACTGAAGTGCCAGGCACAGACCCACCTGGTTCTGCAGACGTGTGTGAAGCGGGTGTATCACTGCCCCTCACTGGGCCCCAGCTTCCTCATCTGTAGGAAGAGGGGTGGCGTTAGCCCCGGAGGTTAGCTGGGACAGGGGCTCCAGCACTTCACTCACAAACAGCGTCACTGTTGGCTAGCACCCCGGAGCTGCTGAGCAGAGGCAGGATGGAGAAGCCGAGGTAAGGACTGGTGTGCTGTCTGCACAGTGCCCTCCAGCTGGCCGCTGTCTCCGACCTCCCAGGCGCTAGGGGGAAGGGGTGCAGCCCAAGAGCTTGTCCAAGGTCACTTGGCTAACAGGCAGGTCTCGGCCTAACGCCCAGCCTCCGGCCTCCGTTTGGGAGTCCCGGGAGGCGGAGGGAGCCCAGCAGAGCCCAGCCCTTGCCCTCTGCGCCCAGTCCCCGCCTGCGCCCTGGCCTCGGTGCCCTGGCTGCTGCCCAAGCTTCCACTGCCTCCTCTCAAGGGTAAGAAGGCGCTTGGTCACAAGGGCCTGGACAGCGGACAGGCCAGCCACTCATCAGGCCAGTGTCACTGGCAGTAACAGGCGCAGAGAGGGTAGCTGTGGGGTCCGCGGCCACAGCCTTCGGGGTCACGACTAGAGTGGGCTCCCCACGGCGGAGCCTGCGCGCCCCAGGTGTGGCTGTGTGGGCACGCGTGGGGCGCCCGGCGCTTACGTAAACTTCGGCCCCCGCGTCACTGGGCAGCGAGTGGCGGCCACGACACCGGACTAGGGCCGGGGGCGAGCGCGAGGGTCGGCCACTCCACCCTCCCGCGCCCTGGTCAGACCTCGGGCCGCAGGCCGCGGGGGGCGCGCCGGGCGGCGCACCGGGATCCGCGCGGTCAGGGCTGCACCTGCCTGTGCCCGGGTGGGCCGGGTCTCACGGCAGGGAGGACGGGCTGGCAGCGCCAGCGATCGGGGCACTCACCGTGGGCCGCGGGCCGCTGTCCCCGCCCCACTACCGGCCGGAGCGCGGTGTCCCCGCGCGGACTGGGGGTCCCGCGGAGGGACGCACGCCGGGAGCCGCCGCCGCCGCCGCCGC